CTCACTCGCAGGCTCCACTACAACCACTGCCGACTCCGTCGGAGTGTTGGGAGTCCATCTCAATGGACTTCGTGTTTGGCCTTCCGCGCGATTCCAGGCGGAAGACTGGTATAGTGGTCTTTGTGGACAGCTTCAGCAAGATGGTACATCTCGCTGCTGTCGAAGCGGAGGTGACCTCCGTACAAACGGCACGTCTTTTCGTCGACATGGTGTTCAAGCACCATGGCATACCCAACGACTTTGTGTCGGACCGCGATCCGCGCTTCACGGCGCGTTTCTGGCAAGAAGTGTTCACACTTCTTGGAACACGGTTCTCTATGTCGACTGCGGATCATCCGCAGACGGACGGGCAAACCGAGCGCGTGAATCGCGTGCTCGTGGACTTGCTGAAAAGCTACGCCCAGTCGTTCCACAACTGCAGCGACTATTTGCCGATGGCCGAGTTCGCCATCAACAACGCGGTGCATGCCTCGACTGGGCATACCCCGTTCTTCGTGAACGCCATGCGGCATCCGCGCCATCCGAGCACGCTCGGGTGGTGGCTTCCTCCTTAAGTGGGGGAGGATCTACGGTTGCGTCTGAACAACCGCAGAAGACAGCTGATACGGATCTATCAGCTGCGATGACACGTGCGAGAGCGAGAACCCGCACAGGACAAGGCGACGTGTCAGTGCCGGGCACTGACACTGTGAAGAACGACGAGCAGGCGACACCTGCTTCGACCAAGGACAACGTGTCTGTGCAGGGCACATACACCGCGAAGACTCACGCACAGGCCGGGCCTGTTGCACGCACAAGTGATGTATCGATGCCGGGCATCGATACCGAGAAGCTTCACGCACAGACTGGGCCTGATGCGATCACACACCACAAAGAGCCACGCACAGTCTGGGACTGATGAGAACACAAGTGGCGAGTCTGTGCAGGGCACAGACGCGGACAAGACCAATGAGCTGGACCCGGGGTTCAGCTCTCAAGCAATGGACTTTGTCCAGGAACGACAAGCAGTCGTTTGATTTGTACAAGATGCAATAGCAGCTTCTGCGGATAGGCAGAAGCCGAACCCAGACAACGTTGGCAGGGGTAATACAAATGAATTCAAAATTGGTTCATTTGTTTTGTTATCTACCCAAAACTTGCCTACTCATGCCGTTTCTGGATTCGGAGCAAGCAAGCTTGCTCTGCGCTTCATTGGACCGTTCACGGTGGCAGAACGTCACGGCAACGCATACACGTTGGAACTTCCTTCCGACATGAGACTCCACCCAACGTTCTACGTTGGGCGCTTGAAGCCATACGTGCAGCCCGAGTCATCTAGTCGTGATGACTCGCCGACGACGACGCGCAGCGCGTCCTCAGCTTCTCCCCAAGCTTTTCACCTTCTCCCGGAGAAGGCGAACTTGTTCCGACACCTCAACACGGATGTTTGAGGTGGTCTGAGCGGCTTCGGCCACGTAGGCCTTC